AGGTGATCAATCAAAGAAGAACATACATCAAGGATAGATTAATTTGGTGAATTGGAATTCATCAACAATATCTAGAAATTCATACACTCAAGCATCAAAACAATAAGGTAATCATTTTTAGGGCTTCAACCTAAGCCCTAGCTATGGAGTTTAGTTGCTCATAATCATTTCAAACACAAATTCGAAATATAATTAGAAAGAAGTTACAGATTTTGTGAACATGGGAGCTCAAGGTCTTCAATGGTGGAAATCTCTTCCACTCTTTGCGTTGTTGCCCTTGTCTTCCTCCTTGAGCTCCCTAGCTCCAAGCTTCATCTCTAGCTCCAAAATCTGCTCAATAGTTGTAGAATGATAGAATGGATAGGTCATTCCCCCACGTTCAATAGCCCTTTCATTTCAGATTGCACTCTCTTGCCCATCATTTCCAGCTCATACTTTTAATATAAAAGTCTTGCTTTTGTTAAAGCCTTTGCCTTTGTCCCCTTGTCATGATGGGTTCTTTTGTTATTGTCTTCATCAAGATGCTCTTTGTTTCAGATAATATCTCTCAACCAAAGTAAATTCTTGTTACCAAGTGTTATGGTAACAAGAAGAATCAAGTGACACATTGGAGGTAAAAGCTGGACTACTTCGGATTTTCAGAGCTGTGGTAACATGCTGGATTGGTTGGATAGGCAATACTTGTCCAATGGAGCTCAAATTTGGATAGGTTGTAGTTAACATCCATTGGAACAAGTTTCATGAAGATCTTCACCTCATCCGAGCACCAGAGCATGTTGATCCCAGGCCAAGAAGTTGACCTACGAAAATGAAAAAAAACAGAATTTATAACCAATAATGCACTTTTAGCTCATTTTCATTCCAACCAAGGTAAAATCTAAGAAAACACAAAAAGGAAGTAAAAAGCTATAAAATGTCAAGAACTAACTCAAAATAATGGGTGAATAACATGAAAAATCATGTGTAAAAATGAACCGAACAGTTGGTGATTTATCAAACACTTTCATCATTCATATTGTATTCATGTGCATGTCGGTGACTCATATGGTTGAGAGCACCAAGACCGTGGTGACGGTTTTTATCCGGCGAGCTTGAAGCAATCGTGACCAGTATTGCGTTCAACATAAGGAGTGTCGAAGATCATCCTGTGACAGAAGTTGAGTTACGAAGATGTCGGTAAACATTATCTAGAATGTGTCTAGGATAAGTGTATGAGTGCTTCTTGTAATCATCGTTCTATAGTGGATTTGTGTTGGACTGAGGAGTCCAGTGGATTTTCCCCAGAGATGGGGTTTTACCACGTAAAATAATTCTCTACTTGTTCTTTTATTTTATGTCTAGCACGTTTCAGGATTGATAAGTCATATCAATCCTGCCACCAAAGTTTAATTTTTGTTTATTGATTATAATATTAAATTGGCATATTCACCCCCCTCTAGGCATTTTTAGTCATCCTACATGTATTTTCAATTGGCATCAGAGCCAGTAGCTAGACACACTTAGCGAGATCTGGAATATTTTATGATGAATAGTGCCACAGGCTCAATTGTACATTCACCATATTTTGATGGCAACAACTATGGCGCTTGGAATGCCAAAATGAAGTTGTTTCTTTTGGTCCTTAGATGAACGTGTATGAAATACAGTGGTTCATGGATTTTCTTTAACTTGCATGAATTCTGTTATTTGGTTTGAGATGCCTCACCACTTTAACTCAAGGTGAATCCTCACCATCTTTCTCAACACTTGACATTTGTCCATATGCATAACTATGATTCCATAAATACAAAGTAAGTATTAAGAAGGGTGATTAGGATACATCCAAAGACGGAATAAGGAATTTTTATAGGGGTGACTAATATATATATATATATATATATATATATATATATATATATATATATGTTAACGAGATATCTAACATAAACTTGTTTTTCTTAAAGCAACATATACATAAACACCAAATTAAACACACATTATCAAACATCAAACAAATATTGCATTGCTAGAAAAATAAAAGAGCTACACATGTATTTCTACTACAGGTATTGCAGCCTTGGAGTTTCCAATCACCTTAATTTGTCAATAAAAGTAGCAGAAATACATATACACTCAAATATTTAAAATAGCATTTTATCATTCTTTAGTAAATTATTTGTTGCAAATACACACCAAGCAAATAGATTGAAAACTACAATCAAGTTTATCCTTGAGAAGAAATAAAGTAAAGCGAATGTGATTATGTAAAAAGATGATGCGAGAGAAAAGAAAACATAGGCTTGTTAAGCCAAAGATGTTATGTTAAGGGGAAAGTTCGACCATAGGCTAGGCTTGTATTATTATTAGTCAAATTGCTTCTAGATGGTACATAATTTGCTTTGGAGCTACTAGAGGTTTACATTATCTTCATCCTGGTGCCAGGTACACCATCATCCATAGAGGTGTGAAAACCACAAACATTCTATTGGACGAGAATTGGGTAGCTAAAGTGTCCGATTTTGGTCTATCAAAATATTAATCAAAATCAAACCCATGTTAGTACAATGGTGAAGGGTAGCTTTTTGGAGAGGAGGGGTTGGGAATTTTTGGATTCAAGAGACAGAGACGCTTGCAGAGAAAGGAAGAAGAACAAGTAAGAGGAGGAAAGACATTAACTCGGCGTTTATTTAAGAATAATTTTTATTTTTTAATTTACGTTTTTTAAGGAAAATATATTTGTATGTTTTAATTATGAGAAAACCCAAAGTAGAGGATTCAGATAATGGATTAGTAAAGAGAATTTTTTTGAATTTATAATTAAATGGTATTTTAGGAATAATGGTGAGTGAAAAGATAGGATTGTGTATTTTCAAATTTACATGGTGGGTGAGGAAATAGGACAGGGGATGGAAATAGTAGCACTCTACTTGAAAGCTATTTAAAGATATTTGGTTAATAAACTAATCTGCATAAAAGTGACGAGAACCATTTTCCCCTGCTGTTGGCAGCAACAGTAATTTGAACAAGTTGGACCCTTCGAGCTTTGGTTTGAGAGTTTGGTCTTTGTACAGATCAACATGTTGACCTTTTTAGCGGTCAATAATTCAAATAGAAATCTCAGGGCTTTTTTAATGTTTGTTTTGAGAATTTGTATAAAAGACAGGATTTCTTATATTCATAAGATTTCTCATCCCAAATAAATTTCAAGGTTTCTCATCCAATAATGAATTTCGT